ATTACCAAAACACTCTCCAAGCCTCTACAAGCCTTCGAACAGCTGCTAAACTCTTCTGGTAACCTCCAAGAATCAGCCACGAACAGTTCTTTCTAAGCTTCCAGCCCTAGGCAATTCTCATGTGGTCAGCTGGACTAGACACACATGAGAAACCCTAGATTGGCTCTGATACCAAGTAGTCGATCAAGACTACAATCAGTCTTAAATCTAAAAGTAAAAAGGTTTCAGATGGAGAAAAGAAGAAGAAGAAAGAAGAAGAAAAGGAGAAGCAGAAGTACACAAGGGTTTTAGAAAAGAGAGAGAGGGACTGATTAATGAATCTGTCGCCCCACTCTTAATATTTATATGTTTACTAATTATAGAAAAAGGCAGAATTGCCCTTAATGCTTACATGGCAAATAAACTAATAATAAGCTGAAATAACAAGCTGTCTGAAATAACTACCAACTAACACTGACATAACTAACAAAAAGTACATGCTGTGCTGTCATACGAACACAGTGGGGACCACAGCCGTGGGGCCCACATCAGTGTTCTCTACAAGAACCATTGGGTGCGATTACAATTGGCTCACACTTGGGTGATTTTTATGTCAAAAAAGTTGTGTATAATTTATAGCCATTTGGTTTCAGAGCACTACTAGAGACCTACCTTTGCATGTGTTTCTATTAGCTAGGTGATAAGCCCATGATGTAAAAAAGAGAAAGACATATCTGGTATTGTCAACAGTTAGGACTGTAAATTCATGAACCAGTGGTTCTAAAGAGAAAAAAAGTCATTCTTAGATAACATGCTTTTTTATTAGTAATGCCAAATGTGTTCAGTGGTTCTTACGGTTTTTTGTTTTCAACATTTTGGTCAGGTAACAGTGACAGATAGGGCAGGGCATGCATTTGATGTCATGGCATCTATTACAGATGAGGAACTTAATTCTTATAATGGTGTTGTTGTTGTAGTAAGTTTCTTCCAAATGCTTCTTTCTTTTGTTTAAATTTTTAATGTCCTGTTCGTTTTTTATCGGATCCTAGATTCTTAGATTAGATAAAAAATGTTCCATAGGTCAAAGGTTTTGGCGTTTTTTAGCATTCTTTTCATTAGTAACAGGTAAAATTTTATTGAGTACAAGTTGCACATTGGGATTCAAAACATGGTATAATTTACAAATATAGAGAATGCAATAAAAACAGAACACAAAAGAAAATTTGCTCCATCACGAGCCCCTCAAAAAAGCCATTACAGTTTTAGTCCAAGAAGTATTCACCTCACCTTAGTTCCTGTCTGTTCACCCCTTCTTTTGCTAGGGAATAACTAAATAAGCTTGTGACTGAGGTGACCTTGGAACCCAAAAAATTTCTTCTTGAACATTTAACATATAGGGTCCTTTCTAGTGCAGTACAGAAACAAACCACGTTCACAGAAGCTTCAAAGAACAGAGCAATAGACAAAATAAATAGGAAGAACAATTCTTCACTGAATAATTAAGAGAAAATCAACCAAAAACTCCCCTAGCTTTGCCCTATCTACTCTTTATATAGATTTCTTTACTCCCTTATGCCTCCTACAAAGAAATTTCCTAATCTAATAAAACACTCATTATTATCCTACTAAATCTCTTCAAAAAGAAAATTCTAATTGAATACAAATTCAGAAATCCCACTGTAACAGTAACTTGGTAAATACAAGCTAAGATAAAAATTCCATGATGACGCTATCTTGGTAAGTACAAACAAATACCGTACTGCATCACTTTCTCCCCATATCCCCTTATCTTATGTCTTAAGCTCCAAGGGCCAACCGTATCTCCTTTTAACCAGCTTACAATAGATTTAGAGTCCCCTCAACAATCAATCCTTGAAACTGTGTTTTTCTTTTTTTTTTTTTTAGCTAACTTCAGCCTTTGTGGAACAGCTTGTAGTTCTGCTGTTATGGGGTTTGCAGCTCTGATTGGCAAGAAAATGCCACAGTAATATTACCAAATGATTTTTGACAACTCCACCAATGCCTGACATTCCTGGGTTCCCAAACTGCATCAATTAAAATTCATCTTTAAGTTTGTATATTGACCAGGGACACCAATTCATTGCAGGGTGGTTTTCCCCTTCTATATCCTCTAATTATTTTTGTGTGTTGGCTGAAATTATTTTTTCTTGAACATAACATGAATGGTATTTTACAGTCTGAAAAACTTGATTATCTATTATCATTATGTTAACCAGTTAATTATTGTCTACGTAACCTTATAAAAATATTTTCTAGCTCTTTTATGACAATTTTACAAATGTGGTTACAGGGTGGTGATGGCTTCTTTAATGAAATTCTGAATGGACTACTCTCTTCAAGGCATAAGGCTCCTTATCCACCAGCCCCTACAGATTTTGTGCATTTAGCTGAGAATAATAATAATGTTTATGATGCAAATGATACTATCCCTGAGACGCCTCTCCAAAATGAACGAGATCCTCTTCTTGAAAGTTCGGGACCTAGTAGACCGGGCTTTTCAACTTGCAGTATGTGCAATCATTACTATATTCCATACAAATTTACCTCTAGATTTGATTCCCAGATGTAAGGGGTGGGGATCTGATATATCACTGGATTATCTGGAATTACAGGAACTGAAGGTAGGTCCTGCAATACAGGTTAGCTTATATTCCTTGGATTTGTAAGTTGATTAATCTCTTTTTCTTTCTTTCTTCTATTTTCTTCCCCTTTTTCTTTTTAGAAAAGAAAAAAAAAATCGTTTTCTATGCAATTCTTATAGAAGTGCATTTTTCTGTAATGCCTGAATTTGACTTCTATAATTCTGTTGCTTCAACAGCTTGTGCAGATCAAGATTCCATATTTCCCTTTCCAAATGAAAATTTTAGCTTGGGAATTATTCCTGCAGGTTCAACTGATGCTATTGTAATTTGGTACTTTCATGCATTTTCTTTGTTTATGTTACTTGTGTCAACTGTCAAGCATATCAGTTGTTTCATATCCAAGTTCATCACACACAAACTCAGTTTATACACATTATGCATTGGGGCCATCTTTGGTATTTCATAGTTGTAAAACTGGCAAAGTGCTATACTGCTATTCAACGTACAAATGGAGATTAGGATAACCTCAATGTAACTTCTTTCTAGTTGTCATGTCTTTACTAGGCAATTTGTGACCGGAGAATACCAATAGGTAAAAGGAAAATTTTATAACATGGCTACAAATCTTGAAATGTTGTATGGTGCACAGGAGTTAAGTGTTGAGCAGTCAATAAGTAATATGTTCAAAATACAAGTTTGGTTGAGATGCAATTTTAAATTTTAAGGCATATTGATGGTAAAACTAGAAGGGACTGGATTAAAAATGAGCACAATCTTGGGAATCTAGAACTAGCATTAACAGGTGATAAAATGAGGAAAAGTAAGGTAAGATGGTTTGGGTATGCACATGGAAGATCACCAACTACATTGATAATAAGCAGTACATTACAATTTGTCGACAAGATATGATTTGAGGCAAATTAAGAAAGATATGATTTGCTGCAAATTTAGAAAGATTTGATTTGATTGATTACAGATTTGAATAAATTTAGGAAA